TCAAATTTCAATTCTACAGCACAAAAAAAATTGATTACACATCTGCTTCATCATACTGCTCTGATCAACCCAGACAACTTCTGATTTCTGAAACTGGTGCTGTCTCTCATATGACTGCAGAACCTTCTTCTTAGCATGTTTATTGGAAAGTCATGTTTGGTGATGGGTTTCTTCATCCTGTTTCTCATCAGGGCTCTTATTCTCTCTCTTCTCATTATGTCTTTTTCTTTAAATAATGTTTTTGTCGTTCCTTTTGCAAAATCAATTTAGTTTTTGTCAAAAAATTCAGAAGAGACAATAATGGTTCTATTGAATTTACTCCGATTTATTTTTGCATAAGGATCTAAGTACATGGACTCTACTCCTTCAATGCAATTGCCCGAGTGACATATACTTATTCTGTCCAACTTCATTGTGCTTACTTCCTCCAAAGTTCCTCCAATTAGCTTTGCTTACTTTGAATTGTCTTCTCAGCAAGATTTATGGCATCCTTGATTCACTCATTATGGATCCTCTATTCTAGCAAAAATCAAGCTATTGCCAACATTTCTTCCCTTAGGGTTTATTTCTAAAATTTTTTCTTGTACCCTCATTGCATAATCAGAATTTGTTTCACTACAGAATTTGATCTTGCATTGTCTGCAGACATTTATGGACTTTTAGTGACATCCTTCGATATAGATTGATTTTCTGAAGCTTCAGTTTCTGCTTTTTCCCAATTGCAGTGAGCATTCCCATCAACTTTGATATTTCTTGCCACAATCACTTTCTACATTTGAATGTCAAAGACTCTACACCCTTTAGCATTGCTGCTAATGCCCTTTATGCTGCCAACTTTAGCTTTTTCGTTCGGCTTCTCTCTTTTAACTTCTGGAACATGAATATAACAAACACTTCCAAACATCTTCAGGTGTGTTACTGCTGGTTTTGATCCATAACAAAGTTCATGTGGTATCCTTCAAGAAGGCTATTTTGAAGGTAAATTGCTTTGTGCACAACTTTTCCCTAAAAATTCTTTGGTAATTGTCTTCTCAAACAAATATCTGGCCATTTCAGTGATAGTCCCTCTTAATCGCATCATTTTGTTGAGGTTTATAAGGAACAGTAAGTTGGCGATGAATCTCAACTTCATTCAAGAACTTGTTGAAGTTCTTGTTGGTGTATTTACCATTATCTGATCTAATGATTTTGATCTTCACCTCACTTTGATTTCTACCAAGGTTTTGAAACCTCTAAATTGGAAGACTTCAGATTTTTGCTTCGAAAAATACATCCAACATATTTTTGATTAATTATCAATAAATATTAAAAACTACTTGTTTCTATTAAGAGAGAAGTGCTTATTGGTCCACAAAAATCAGTGCCTATCTAGTGCAATTTTGGTTGCTCTCCAGGCGGCTTTTTTTTGTGTGGAAAAACTAACTTCCTATTCTTTCAAAATTTATGGATTTCACACCCTTTATTGTGCTCCTTAATCAGTGGCATATTTTCTACTAACTCTCTTCTATATAGGTTTTTAAGGTTTATTGGTTGCAGTGCAAATTTCCTATTTCAAAGCAAAAAAATCATCATTTTTGCATGCACTGTCCCATTATACTTTGCTTGCTTAAGCAATGTAAAGTGTACATTAACCGTTCCTAAGTGAGCTTATCCACTAATACAAACAATTCATAACTTATTAACCATAATATAAAAACAATTAAACTTGGACACAACTTTGGACTTTTGCTTGGCAGCAAAAATGCCAAACAATAACATGCTCTGGAACTGGTTGGTTTCTTGAAGTGCCAAGAAACAGCTTTCTGTCCGATGTCCCAGTCTGAGCAGAAGTTATCTGCTGTCTCTTCTCAGTTGGTAGCATGACTTGGATTCTTAACTTGCTTCATGAGCTTCAATTTCATATAAAGTGTATTTTCTCTATTATGGGTGTGATAATGTAAATGCTATGTATATGGCTGCAAATTTAGTTCAACATGCTCCTCTAAAGATTTTGAATTGGATACTTATTTCATTGGTGATAAAGTCCAATCTAAACAACTTCAAGTTCGTCAAATTCCAAGTCAAGAACAATTGAGAGATGTCTTCACCAAAGGTCTCACTCTGAGATGTTTGCAATTATTGAGAGCCAATCTGATATGGAACCCAGATTAATATGCAATCTGAATCTCACGCATACACAATTAGTATTAAAATCTCCAAACTTAACCTACAAGTAGCTTGTAATTGGAATTAAGGTGATTAGGATGAAAAAAAAAAGGATTGATTAAAACGCCATAAGAAAACCTTGATGAATTGAAACCAATTCTTGATATAACAAGAATATTGAAGAATCTCACAAATTGCAAAGATAGCCTTTGCCCGAAATTGTTTGTCAATAGCATAATGAAGAAAAAGACACCTAAGAGAATCTTATATAGGGAATGCAATACTAATCCTAGTCCCTTAAAGGAGTAGGAAATAATCTTAACCCTTAAATCTAATTAATCATAAGGTTAACATTTAATATAATGGTAAAACGTAATTATAATAGGCAAAGGAATAATCAATCCATGTGGATTAATGAATCCTACATGAAAACAATTCCCAATCATTATAGGAAAATGAATAATTAATCCATGTGGACAAATCCTACGTTGAAACCAATTGCCATTCATAATAGGAAAAGAAATAATTAATCCATGTGGATTGATAAATCCTACATTGAAACCAACTCCCACCCCCTAATGATTCCTATATAATCCTATGTGGCATAAGGTCCCACTTTACACATAAGAAAAAATAATAAATAAATTTAACTTAATTAAGCGAGCTTTATTCTTCATGAATTTGAGCATGCAAATTCCGCCCGATGATTTGTATAAGATTAATGGACTGCTTCTTCATGTGACTTAGCGAATTCGGCCCATTTCTTTCATGATCCTCCAAATTCGACCCAAGCCTTCATTCTTCATTGATCTTTTCTTGGACAAAAGTTTGAAAGGCTTGCTTGAGTCTTTTGACCAGTAATTTAGTGAGTACTCCACTAGGCATAATGATGTTCGGCCGATGTGGCCTATGTGTATTTTGAGTTGTGTTTACACCATGATTTGTGTTTATACTATGCTCATCTCCTTGTACACGTGCTCTATGCTTTGTGTCATGATCTCCATCACAATCTTTGCATGCTCCTATACGCAGGTTGAGAGGGAGCAATAGATTATGTATAAGTTTGTTATATTTGCAACTATCTTTCATATCGTGTTTACAAAATGTTCCACCTCAAGGTGGGTTAATCTTTCCTGTATATATAAGATTCGTCACTGAAAACAAGACTCATTGAGTGAACTATTCTGAAAAGCCAGACATAGAAGCAGATGGATGGAATTCTTTTATTAAAAATGTTCTGGATTTAGAACAACACTTTACATCCATTGGAAGCGCTTATTGAATTCACATTATAATTTGTTGTTGTTATTTAATGCTTTTCCATCTGTTGAACGGTAAATGCTGTCTCCTAATTTTTAAATTTGAATTTCTCTAGTGTTAAGATTAATCTTTTGATCCTCCTAATCTTTAAATGAGACTGGGCAATACGCACAACGGAACCAAATGTGAAAGTTGAGGCTAGTAGTTTTCTTCTTATCTGCATATGTTCTGTTAAATTTATTTTGAACAGGGAAAATAACACAATACAATGAGAAAAATTCAGAACTCCAATGTAATTTCACTTTCCAATGGAAGAATCCTCACTACAGTGCAAATAAATTTATACATGTTATCCTGGCAAACTAAAAGGAATCAAAGACGAGTTTTCTTCTAAAAAATTATGCCACTTTTTTAGCATGCTTGACTGGAAGCTGGAGGATGAGACTTGTTTAATCATGGTTTAAAGCAAGCACATGTCTTTTGGTTTATCCATTCAATCTTGAAGATAATGCCAATGTTAGGCAGGTCAAATTTGAGGTGCAGTGACCAATTTTTCTTTTGTGAGTGGTAGTAGGAACCTTAACAAGAGATTAAACAAAAAGAGGAAACGAAAAAAATCACTATAATGGTTTTAGTATACTAGTATAGGTAGACTTCAGTATAGTGGCCTGCCCCTTAGTTCATTTCGAGAAAGAAACTTGATAGGGTTCACTGAGACTACTAGGCCAAGAAAGGTTTTCATTGGCCGAAAAATCTTCTTTTTTCCTATCTGTTATGAGAAAAAATTTCTTTGTTAACATGCTAAATCATCCATGATCATTGAAACATATCTGTGTTGATGGTCTATGCATGATACAAGTTTTAGAAGGAATAAGCAGATATATCTATGTCAAGCAATTCTTGTGTTGAGTTTACACGAGAATCTTGCCAAGCCATTTAGCTCTAATTGAGCTATACTTATCTGGTTGTCAGCACAGAGCATATTTTCAGTTGTAACAAATCAATCTTCTTCTCATCAATTAGTACCCAGTCTATCTGAAGTCTCATCTTCATCATGAAGATGATAACTCTTGTACCCACCAAAAGAATATTAAGTGTTAAAATTTGTGCGCTTTATGGCCATTCAGATCAGAAGATCAAATGCCATTATGTCTTTTTAAATATGTATTGTCTGCAAGAATGACATTGGAGTTAGCCTAATCAGAATCCCCTTTTTGTCCTTAGGGAATTTAATTTTTTTTTTCACATGCTAATGTGTCTTTTCATGTTTCAGAATGGTCAGACAATCACTCATGGAAACACCAACGCCACACATCAAATATAGACTCTTGCAAGTGCATAGATACCCAATTTAATATGGGGAAAAAAGGATGGTCTAAGCACTTGTTTTGTGTAGCCTAAAATAATTTAATCAAACTCTGTGTTCAAGCAATAACTTTTTTTAGCCTAATTTTTGTGACATGTGGACAGAATGTTTGGTTTGAGGTAATCATGCAAAGATTTCTCCTTTTAATTCTTTAGTAGCATTTACTTGTGCTTTTTCCTTTTCGTTCAGGACAGGAAAAAAGCTATGGTAAGTTGTGAAATTAGCAATGAGTTAGTCTTTTCTCCTTTTACTTGTCCCCAAGTAGAGAAAACAGAGCTTCTGCAGAAGATTGTAATGTTGGTTATTTGTACTTCAGCTCAAAATAAGAGTAAACAAAACTGGAAAGTTCAGATACATCACAAAAAGATACATGTTTATTTCCATGAGTTAATTTCACCTTGTTCACTGCCTCATTTTCTGGACGTGGAAGACAATCTTACTTCACTTTTACTAAACCCTTTGGTGAAACTATGGCGATTTTTATACTGTCTATAGAATTAGAGTGTTTTAAGTTAGACTGCCTTCTGAAGAAGAGTTTTCCACTCACTACATGAAAGATTGAAAATAGTTTCTGGGTAGAATTAAGATAAATTTGATTAATTAGTGAGACATTAGTCTTCATGAATGGTGAAAGTTCACTGGGTAGGGTACACTTGAAGAAACGATTAGTGTTGCTGACACGTAAATTCTGAACCCTTTAGTGTCCAGTAACTAAAGTTCATGATGGACCTCATTGATGCCATGTTAAGATTTCCCCTTCTGCTTAACAGTTTATCAGTCTTGTACTTGATTTGATGTCTTGCTCTGTGATGGTAAATGTTGACTTAGCTTCTGTCTTAGTGCGCTCTATCTCAACCTTAATTAGGTCACTTACCTGGTGATAAATCCTTTTCCACTAAGGTGCAAAATCAGAAGTTAGATTGATATGGCTGCTAAAGCCTACATAATTGTCTTGTTGTGCAAGAAGCTAATGCATAAAAGACTGATGTGTGATTTCGCACATAGTGATCCAAGACAAGTAGGTAGAAACTCTAACTTGTTTAGCCAATAGTTTAAACATAAAGAAAATTTGGTTGAGAAATAGAGATAGGCGAGAGAAAATTTGAAATCAAGGTGAAGAATTTTAGAGAGAAACATAGTAAACAAGATAGATCGGACAAAACAATATTAGAAGAATGAAAATAGAGAGAGATAATAGCAAATATAATCCTAATAAAGAAATTATTATTTATCCGTCGTTTTTTCTTTTTGTTGGTAGCAACTAACCTTTATATAGACATTAATTAAAATTATTATGGTGAATTATAGAAAAAGAAAGTCTAAAAGATTTTAAATCCTGTAGAACTTAATCTATCTAATAGGAAGCTGTTAAGAAGTGTACATTAGGGTGACGTTAAGGTAAATGATATATTATCAATATACTATGATCTTGGTGATCTTTGTAACTAATATTACTTTCTTGTATTGTTACCATTCACTTATAAATATATAGCCCTTATATTCAATAAAATAGATAACAATTCGTTATTTCACATGGCATTAGAGTCCTAAATTAAAAAAAAAACCTAAGGTCATGTTTCCCTCTTTATTTTCGGATTCCAATAATGAAAATTTATGTCAAGATGTATGTGAATTGGCAAAATACAAATGTGTTGTTTTTCCTCTAGTAATAAAGGAAATAGTTTCCCTTTTAATTTGGCTGGCAATAATATTCGTGGACCTCCAATAATAAAAGAAATAATTTTTCTTTTACTCTAAATTAGGTTTTGATCATGTTGTAAAATTATCTTTTTAAAATCTAATAACGTATTTCTTTTATGAACAATTGTTCTAGCATAACCTGGCTTTTCTTGCTAACAAATATGAGATTAGCCAC